TCGTTCAATTCAGTGGATTCGTTAAAGTTAGACATTAACACAGTTGCATGCCGACTCAGCGGTCTAGAGATTAAGTGTTTGCACTCAAGACTGAAGGTCCTGGATTCGAATCCCGTGAGCGGGGTCGTGAATGCGCATTGCTAAGGAGTCCCACAATTGGGCGAGACATTCGTCCAGTGCTTCCAGGTTCTCCAAGGTGATCTAGTATTAATCGGTTCATGATTTGAATAAAAAATGATGAATTATCAATGGGTATAACATTGTTGGGGATATATCAGTACGGACCAGTTAAATTGCAATAACTCTTAAGCAAATAATATTTCCAGGATGCATTAAATCATAAGCACATATTTATTCTGTACAGATATCTTAACCAGGTATGATCTCTGAAACTCTGTTCTTAAACATCAACCCTCACTAAGCAGGCATAATCTGGAGGTAGATAAAAATCTTTTTCCTGAAAATATTGGGTTTACAAAAGACCACTGTACTATATCGATACTGAAGATTTTATATAAAACTGATTTCTCAATTTACAGGCAGAGAATTCTTTAAAAGACTACAATAGACTTATTAATTATGTAAAACATATTTACATTATTGTTTTCTTTTCCATAAACTGTTGTAACGTGTGGATTGTACGGTTAGATGCGCAGCGTATTTATCGATCGCTTCAGTGACACGTAAAACGCGTACGAACGACCTAGAGTCTCGATTAGTCCCGCTTCCCTGTCTAGCCCAGCCAGTTTAGTCCGGAACGCAAGTCACAGCCTCTGAGATATGAATCGTTATATTCCAAACATACTCTGTTTATATACCAACCAAACAGATCACATCGTACCATAAAAATAGAAAACAACATTTACACAATATTTAACAAGTGAAATAAATACCGACCAATAGAGAGTGTACATTTAACGTCCAAGGACACCATTAGACTTGACACGACAATTATTGGTACATTCCTCTGCATACCTAACAAAACTATTCACTTAAAAAGCTGTTACTTGAATAGACAAGGACTGGTGAAAAATTCATTAAGGTTGTCATCAGTTCATCTTTTAAAATATACTATTACTAATCTAAAATGTTGAATTACACTTCCGATACTTCCCCACAACCACCCAAAAAAATAATACCAGACAAAGGTGATTAAGTAGATAAATTCAATTATGATTAAGGTATAATTCTAAACGATATCTATTATTCATTCCAGATTCGGTAGACAACTACCCCTACTATTAATCGTTTTGACATTAAACGTATGATCTCAAATAGGATACACAAATACCTACTCATTTACGTGATAGAAAATTCTAGATCACAATCTGATGAATATGAACTCAATAATAGGAATATGAAAAATTGTTTTCACAATGATTTATTTATTTTAACACATAGATATTGGTACAAGGGGGGCACCAAATACATATGCGCCACACAAATCTCATTTGGTTTGTGTGAGGGCTGTGATACTGATTGAGTGCCCAAACTGAAGCACGTGGTTTTCTTAGGGGGCCACATCCAGAACCTTCGACCTAAAGGTCTGATCCACAAGACAGTGGAGCAAAATCAGGAGATGCATTCTCATTGTAGCCAGTGACCAACGATTAGTTTATACGCCATTTGTCTTTTCAGGATCCTGTAGCCTATGTGCACCATTGGTTTTGAATCAGGGTTTTTCAACTCCCCTAGGTGAACTCTTCGTGTTCACCAACCCAGTTAACGTGCCGAACTTTCGCTTTTCGTCCTCTCAATTTCGTAAACAACACTAATGCCACGAGAAGTCATTGAGTAGAATTTCTGTGGAAGTGGTTGTAGCACGTGGCGATGAGCGAGTATTTGGAGAGGAAGAACGGACTCTTCTCACTCTCGGTCGTACCAGGGTATTCGGGGGCTTTAGCAATGAACAAAAACTTTTAAGATCATTGAAAAATTGAGAATCAATTATCATAGATAATGTACATTAAACATATATACACACATAGTAAATTGTATGTATGCCCATTTACTTAGCATAACAAAGTGTAAAACGATCATAAAAATTTTCTGAAGCTATTCCATTTATTCACTTATTGAGTTGTTTTAAACGAACTATCTACATCGAGTCCAAGAAAAACAAGACTGACTAAAGTTACTAGGGAGCATTTCTTTATGGGATATCAGTGAATCCATGAACGGTAACAGAAGGTTGTATACATTTTAGCTTTTTTTTTAAAATCTTTAACAACAGATATGTAACGGTAATTAATTAACCAATAATTAACCAGTCTGGAAGTTACCTTAATATATATCCAATTTCGACAAGTGTCATTGTAAATAAAGTAACACTAATACACACGTTGTTTTATAGGACCTAGTGATCCATATACATTGATCATCCATATTACTCTAGATTTTGATTCTCAGTGTGACTTTATACCTGCTTTATATTCAGTCTACTTAAATTGTATTCTCAATATGTAGTCTTTCTCACTATCATCGCCATGGCGATTATTTTCACTCTTTTACTACTAAATATGCGAAAGTAAATGATCACAAATGTAGCCACAATTACAAATAAAATACTCACATATTGCAATGCTAGTTTCAAGACCATAATATTACATTTAAGCACATTGTAAGGTGGTAGTTGAAAGTAGTTGACAGGAAAACCTAGATCTAGGTTTTGTGTTATTTGACACTAGTTAGCAAGGTGTATCTATAATTTTAATGGACCTAAATGTCCTTGATGGATTCGATTCCGTGTCATACACCTTTATAGTCAGAGAATTTTGGTCACTACTCACTGATCAAACAATTTCAAATGTGATACTGTTTCAGTAGAATATGAAACATGTTAGACAAAAAAGAATTGAATATAACCAGTCACTTATATAGAGTTTACACAAACTCGATTACATGTAATTATGCAGTTTTATTAACCCTATAGGATGGTTACTAAATATTCAATCATTAATAAATTGTTCTCAATGTATAAGCTGGCTAAACTGATTGAAAACACAATATTCCATCAAAAAAAAGTTATCGATACCGTTGAAGATGAGTTACCAAGTACAGATATAGTGTATTTAATTAAGCAGGAGTTAATAACACATCACTGAATTTTTTTAAAATCAAATTAAATTATACAAGATCTACCTTCTATAATGTAGTTATATGTGTTTTATTTGCTAAAATTTTATAAAATAGATGAACTGTGTCAAGAAGTAGAGTATACGATGTATACTTTATCATATTTGTGACCCATCGACTGAATACACCTATATCTCACTGAGACTCGAACTCAATACCTCTTTCGTTTCAAATATGAACAATTTATCATCTAACGAATCTTAATAGTTACTATTATTATTATTATTATTTTGTTCAACGGGATTATTTAAAGCTTTATTAATAAATGATAGATCAACAGAAAGATTAATTATGATTAACTGTAATTAATCTATAAAACAACAGTCATAATAATAAATAATCTTGTACAACACTGGTATAGTATAATATAATAATTAGAATCATCCTACCCTCCCCCCTCACTCAGAAAAAAAAATTATAGAAATTAACAGAAAACAAATTGATTCATAATATGACAACAACAATAATAGTAATAATAATAATAATAATAATAATAAAACTAAATACACCGACAGAAGTGGGAGGGGATAGTAACAATAAAAATTTAAAAACATGTAAATAACAGTTTATTGCACTTAACCATAGAAACAGAAACAGAGAATGAGAAACAAATAAACAAACAAACAAACAAACAAAGATAAATAAATGCAATGAAAATATAAAGAAATAAACAAACAAAAAAAGGCTGAGATAAATGCATTCAATTTGAAAGGGAAAAAAAACACACAGTATAAGCGTACAGTATATACTTCTGTAAATATATATATATATATATATATATATATATATATATATATATATATATACTTGTCTATTGTTAGTATTCATATTACGTAATCTAGTACTATAATCTTTTGATTGCATCATTATGGTTATTTCTTGTTTATAAGCTGTTATTGAACTAGTACTTTAAAATGGAAAGAAAAAATTCATTGAAAAGAGATCTAATCACTAAGCTTGATGTGTTTACTAATAAATGCATATTGATTTGATTAGTTCAATAGTGAATTCATATTGTTTATATTTGAATGATAATTATTAGAACTAATAAAAATAAAAGAGAGAAAATAAACAACGAAAAGAATATGAAAGACAAAAACAAACAAAATAAATAAACAGATGAATACCAAAAGAAACAATCAATAATTGAATGAAACAAAAGAGAAATTGAACACTATTTAAGACGAGTAAATAATAATAATGACAACAACAACAACGATAACAATGAAACAAGATTTGTTTGCAGGTTAAAATACATGAAACAATAAAACTAAATTAAATGTTACATAATTTATTTATATTACAATTACACAATTATCATCATCATCATCATCATCAGAAGCATCACCATCAGTTGTTTATTTATTTGTATAACAGTGTAACAATTCAAAATGAATAAGAACAATAATAATAATAAAAAGTTGAATGATTCACTACTCAACTACGTCACAAGACAAGCCTTCACACATGAAATCCTCAAGGCTAAATGGGGAGAAGAGAAAGACCAGAGAACACATTTTGCCGAAGAATGAAAGGAGGGTCCAGGACAGAGTGCGTTAAAGAATGCTCGTTGGCAGCCTATGTTCCATTGAGGGTAATAGGCATAAATAAGTAAGATTCATTGTGAAATTAATTAAAATTATATTTTCATAATAATACACCAATAACACTTAGATAAATTACATACATAACTAATGAGGTAAGGAGATTTGATTACATCATTGAAATAATTAATTTACAAATAATTAATTCATTAATAAGAAATAAGAGAATTGAATGAAAAGGAAAAGTGTAATAACTTTCTTCTTCTTCTTCTTCTTCTTCTTCTTCTTCTTCTTATTATTATTATTATTATTATTATTATTATTATTATTATTATTATTATTATTCATAATAATAATATTGTTTACGTAATAGATTTGGTGATACAATACTATCAATTGTAGAACTTTGATTTACATTTGAATGATTGAAAATTGGACTTCCTAATGATGAATTAAACAATATTCTTTTATTACTATTAGTAGTATTACTATTATTATTATTATATGGGTTTACACGAATAGGAGGTGCAAAACGTACCTGAAGAGATGGTTTCTGTGGAACAGTTAATAAACTAGGCCTAATATTCATTAATGAACGATTTGGATTATAAATATTTGATGTAAATGTTTGATTATTATGACTAAATAATCCACTAGTATGATTTTTTCCAATTGTATAATTTGAAGGTGATGGTAGATGTGATTCAATAAATTGGGTAGTTAATGGAATTAGATGAGATTTTTTGTTAAAATTATGACCACTAATAGGTGGTGAAAGTGTAATTGAATTAAGATTCGCTGAATGACAAGGTGTAAAAGAAGTTGAACTATTGACATGAACACTAGGGATGTTAATATTACTATTATTATTATTATTATTAATGGAATTGAAAGATGATGTAGCTTGAAGAGGGGATGATAATCGTACATCTGACAGAACAATATTACATGAATTGACTGTGCAAACTGGACTATTTGAACAAGTATGCATAGAAGTGGATGATATAGAATTGGAATCTTTAAATACAACAGATGAATTTGAAGAATTCTTTATTTCACTAGGCGATGTATATCGTGGTGAACAACACATTTCAGGAATGATGAACACTTTAGACGATTGATTATGTATACTGTTACTACTATTATTATTAGTTGTATTTTTCTGATCTGATATGGAATGTTTAAAAGTATAATGATGTTTTGTAGGGGATAAACTTTCAGATAATGTTGAATCTGGTTCTAAACTTGACGCTCCAGACGACTGAGAATGAGAAGAATTCGAATTTGAAACACCTTCATAACTACCGCTATAATCTGCGTCTTGATTATCTGACATTTTATTTCCATATGAAGATGAAGCGGTAGGTTTTAGCTGTGAAAATAAAATAGAAATTATGCACATAATTAGTTTTCGTTCTGCCTAAGTTTATTGAACAATTGACAGAATAAAGAATACAGTACAACTAAGCATTAAAATTATTCCAACAAGCCGAAAAGGTTCTGAATGGAACAACTATAAGGGCATACGATAGGCTAGGTACCGGGGCAATTAAAAACCTCGATAAAAGAAAAGGGTTAAGCCTGGAGTCATCAACTCTATCCCGTAGAAAACAACTTTGCTGACAAATCGCTAATCAGAAAAAAATCATTTGAACCATTAAAACTCTGTCCTACAAGTTGAACGATCTTCATTTACAGGAACTATTACGCCTCATGGAGAAAGCTGAGATTTTTCGAAAATTACGATCCCGATGCCCCTTCTAACAACCAGAGCTATAATTAACGCGGGTACATGGAACGTCTGGACAATGTACGAAACCGGAACGACTAGTCAAATAGTTGAGGAAATAAGGAGACACAACTTGGTGGTGTTCAGAATAAGTGAAACCCATTGGACCTAAGCTGGGCAGAAGAGATTAGCATAGGGAAAGAGCTATTGTACTCTGGTCATGAAGAAGAGAATGCTTCACACAAAAAAGAAGTTGCACTGACGATGTCTCAAGAAGCACAACGAGCACTTATACAACAGTAATCTCATGGATCTAGAATCTTCAAAGCATTCCGCGAAATAAAGGAGGGAATAATAATGAATGTTATCCTGTGTTATACACCCATCAATGATAGCAACGACGACGATAAAGATAAGTTTTACGAGAGGCTGCAATCGATCATAGTGAAGTGCTCAGGGGAGGGACTGACCATCCTGATGGGGGACCTATACATCAAAGTTGGAATGGATGACACTAGATATCAAGATATCATGCGATAACATGAATTGGTAGAAAGGAAATAAAATGGTGAGAGAAATATACTAGTATTTGACCATAGTTGTCTTCGAAACATCGCTCGTATATCCTGGAACCATCGAGTAACAGATGCAGATTTTAGGAGACAGGTACTAAGGATGGCAAATAAAATGATGAAGTTTAGATGTCTGGGACACGTATTACGTATGCCCAACCACCGACTGCCTCGACGTGCGATGTTTTACGGTGTAGGAGTAGGCTGGAAGAAAGCTAGGGGCGGTCAGACCAAAACATGGCACAAATGCATGAAGTCACTGACAAGTGGACTGAGTCATGTTGGTAGGTGTAGACTGCCTGGTTGGGGACCGCAAGATGATAGCAACCGATGGTTAGAGACCCTGAATGACATGGCTCAAAATCGTTTGCAGTGGCGCAAGTGTATCCACTTTTTGTGCTCTCGCAAATTCTAATCTTCTGAGTTCTTCATGTCCCTTTACTTGTTCTCTTTCCAAATTTATTTCACTGTATTATACTCTTTGAATAACATCTTCAAACCTTAATGTTTCCGATTACTGCTTATACTTCTACTACCTCTACCACTACGGGATTTGAATTGACAACTGCATCTCTGTGCTAATGTGATATGGCAACTCGAACTGATGTACGTACGTACGAAGTTCTACGTTGTTACTGACTGACTGACTGACTAATATGTATTCAACAAAAATTGGTTATAGTCGGCACAATATTCCTCCACAACACATACATATGGATCACGCTAAATCACACTACAAAGAACCAGGTCGATCAGATTTCCATCAATAAAATACTCAGAAAGTCAATGTAAGACGTAAGAACAATGAAATGAGATGACATAGCTTCAGATCACGATCTGGTTGTGGTCATACAGACCAAATAGTGATACTGCAGATCATGATTAAACAATTAATTGAATGGAATTCGTTACTATACATCAACTTTCTTGACTATGATAAAGCATTTAACAGTGTGGATAAGAGAATCTTATGGAACCTTCTTAGACATTATGGTGTACCTGAGAAAACAGTGAATATCATACTGAATTTATACGATGGACTACACTGCAAAGTCGTGCATGGAAAACAGCTGACTGAGTCATTCCAAGTTAAGACCGATGTCAGACAAGGCTTAGTAATCCATCACTTTATCTTTTTTCTGGTGATTGTGAAGACCTTCAGATCTTAGGGGAAGCACGGAATATAATGGACAGCTTTGATGCAACTAGAAGATTTGAACTTCATAAATGAACTAGCTTCGCTAACCCATACACAGCAACAAATGCAGGTGATTACAGCTAATATAACAGTAGTAGGCCTCAACATACACAACGGAAAAAGATCCTTATATATATAAGATTAATTCATTAAACTTACTTTCTTATTAGATGGTTGATTAGTAATTATTGATTTGTTGTGTATATTTGTGTTTTTATTGTTATTATATTTCTTTTTTGCTAATGTATTAGAACGGTTTGTCAATGAGGATTGTTTTACACGTTTATTAGTTGACTCATCATCAATCATGGTGAGTTCTTGTTGTTGTACTACAGTTGAATTAGCAGATGTTTTTTTGTTTATTCTACTAGGAAGTGCACATTTAGGTTTGGTTAAAAAAGATTTTTCTTTAAACTGTTGATGTTGAGCATGATGATTAGTTGAAATAGAACTTACAGAAGCACATGTGGTTGCTGATGTTGTTGTCATGATGGTCGTCGATGTTATAGATGTTAACGTGACTATTGTTGAGGTATTATTATCATTATTCGTTATCATAACATCAACATCCGTTTGATTTTCATTTTTATTATGATGACCATTTGTTTCATTTATAGTTAGAGTACGATCTATAATACATAATGGATAACAATGAGTTAACTGACAAGTGGTAGTCACTACTACTGTACAACCATTGACACATTGAAATTCATTATTCGGTGATAAATGTTTTAATAACATTTGACTATCATCTAATATTTCAGATTTTTCTGTCATAAAATTAAGACCTGTCGGTCGAGTATTCTTATGCTTGGTATTTGTAATATTGGCTGGTGGTTGAATTGAATCCCTTGACACTGAATTACCATGTTTCGATGATACATTAGCAACTGTGGACAGTAGAACGAAGTATACGAATTCAACAATAATATATATCATCGATGAAATATATAAATAAATGATAATGGATTTGCGAATCGATACTACAGACCATGACTGTTGCCTTAATATGAAGGTCAGATTCATCTTCCGTGATGGTCCAACCGAACTATATTTGCTGGAATACTTGTGATCCTACTCAAGGCAACAACTTAAGGTTCGAGAGGGAAGTCCTACTACGATGTGACAGGAGTAAGGTGTTTCTTACAACCGACTAGTATCTGCAGTGCCGCCGTCCTTTCACAACAGAATAGGTTCACCAAGGTCATTATTAAAAATAGCATATCTTACCTTGCCCTGTGGATTTCTGAGGCTGAGGGTAAGGTGATATAAGTAAGGAGCTAAAACATCAAGAACTAGTAACAAAAACTTCATGTGAGACTGGTCTCAATCAATTGCCGCTTGAGCACTGCCGTCAAACTACATGATGGTTACGACCATTTCCAACCCAAGTTGACCTTCGCGTTTCTAAGTACTGACCCATTTACCAGGTAGAGATTTGCGTAGCTCGAGTAGTCACACTCTAAGTGTGAGTGCCGACAGTACTTCCCGACTGACTAGACCGAAGTAGGTGGAGCATGGTTTGAACCTGTAAGTTAGTAGATGAAAGTTGAGCTAATGCCGCTTTTCAGGTACCTGAATAAAAAGTATCCTTCCATGGTGTGAGCGACTGAGAAGTAACAACTGCTCATATATCTCTAAAAGCGCTCGATTAGATCCCTTTTTAATAAGTTAAACGTTTAAAACGATTCTCTCGTTAGATACTTGGATAATTTATTTTTTTGAAGTAGGATAACAGTTAAAACTCTCTTTTAAATACAAGTATAGCTCAATTAGTGCCTAGTATAAAAATAAACAACTATTTAGTAGGACAAGTATGAAAACATCGGAAAGTTAGAAATGACGTGTCTTTAACGAGCGATTAGGATCAACATTATATTCTTTTGTAAACCGATGCGATACTAAAAATATGATAGGGGAACGAATATAGCAAAGATATTATAATAGGAAAATGAGTCAACCACAAGTGGCGTATCGCTCACTGATTATGGAAACATCAGTAAATTAATTGAGTTATGAGTATGAATTTAGACTATTACCATACATTAAACATAAGAACTTATCCCTATAAAATATACCCAATTTATACTGAAGCACTTGTCCAATCTCCATTTCTAACATTCAAAACATCCCTGGAACTTTATAGAAATCAAGTCCAATATTGAGCTTGTAGAAACTATGATTCAGCACTAATGACACTTTCAGGAAAAACTAAAGTTTGTGTGAACTTTTTCTAGTAGGTGCATCATCTATTTGATTAGGTGTCATCTACAATAGAACGATTTTTGCAAATTATAACTACTTTAGTGAAATCGTGTGCAAAGGATGGATGTTGTCAACAGTCATTATCATCTGGATAATGAACCCGAGATTAGAATGAACAAAAGACTATACATAGAATGTTTTCAATAATACTAAAGATTAACAATCATCCAAAACTAACAGTTGTAGTAGTATTTAGTTTACAAATTTATTCAACAACCAAAAAATGTTACATTTTGTACTTGTATTTCTTTCTACATTGGTTTCATCACATGTCTAGTAAACTCTATAAATTCATAATCTCGATTATTTGAACTTTAGAAAAGTAATTGTAAACCATACTAAAACTGTAATAGCCTTAGAGACACAACAATTAATTGAAATAATCGAAGGTGCTGGACGACGTTAGATAGGAATAACACTCTATATCCAGCATTGACTAAACTTAACAATGATATAGGGGCATTATACTTACTATGAAATTTAAGGGTTCCTAGGGTTGATCATCATCGATGAACATTCGCTACGAAGCGATAAGCTACAATAGAATAATAGGTGTGTACATGATTGAGTCATGATTTTAACAGTTCTAAAGCTGACGTTATCTACTGACTGAAGATCGAAGTTAAATTATATACTTCCGTGATATGGAAGAAAAGTGTACAGCACTGACAGCTGTCAGTCCATCACGGGTCTCAAGTTGAGATCCTACAGATGTGCAGCCCAGTGGGTTAAGTTACCTAATATGACTCAGAATAAAAGCCAGTAGTAATCCGAATGTAATTTTCTTACAACTAATCAGACAATATCAAACGTCAGTGAGAAATGAACTGAAAATAAGTTGTTGCGGACTTCGTTACATGTTAGAACAACTAGTTATTAACACGAAATAGACTATTTGAGGCCTTTTTGGAAGAGTTAAAAAAACCTTCCTAGAATCAATATAGTCAAGTTCTTAATTTATTGTAAGTAGGGAATATGGAGATTGTTGAATTTCATTGAAATCACAAACCGATCTAAATTAGACCACCACTGAAGATTTGGAGGCACTGAATGGTCGTTTCAGAACTCCTCAACAGTCGTAACTACGACCCTGCAGGGGAAATGAAGACCAGGACCATCTGTCTCGCTAATAAGCACTTAACCTCTAGACCGCTGAGTACGCGTCCAACGGTGTTAATGTTTAGATTTTATCAGTGTTCTGACGGTCAAGCGTTGGCGCACAACTGAAGGTTCTGGGCTCGACTCCCGCATGCGAGATCGTGGATGGGCACTGCTAAGAAGTTCCATACTACGGTGAAACGGCCGACAGTACTTCCAGGTTTTCAATGTTGGTCTAACTTAAATCAGTTCACGAACTCAATTTATTACTTGTTTTTGTTATCATATTTGTAGATGATCAAAACTTAACGAATTATATAATTAACTCACTTTTATTTTCGTCAGTTATCTTAATAGTAGGATTAGATATCGGTTTATTAGAAGTAAAAATTGAAGTGGACACTGGAGGTGGCAATCGGGGCGGTGGGGAACAACACTGTGGTGGTACATTGGAATGTGGTAATAAGTGAGATTCATTATCAAATGAAGGAGGAAATTGTGCCGCTGTTGCTCGCATTGTAAAACGACGTCGACGATAATTAGGTGAAAAGCATGGACTATTTGGAATTATCATAGAGACATTAGGTGTAGAAAATACACCATCTTTTGCTAATGTATTCACGTATGCATGTTCTTTGGAATGTGGTAATGCGAATGTTTCATGCAATGGACATCGTATACAATTACATTCCATAATCGGAAATGTTGTACAAGAATTTCTCGGTTGTGATGCACGATCTAAAGAAACGGTACGTGGATCCATAGATCCCACTAAATGAGGATGTAGAGAACGCTTAGTGGAATTCAACATAGGTATACGTTGCTAAAACAATAATAGAATTAAGAGAATATATGTATACATCTTTTAAAGATCAAAAGTAAATGAACTTTGAAGAATTAATCCGTATTGATTATATCATAAAAGTGAAAGTTTATGGAGGGTGTTAACTAATTTCCTTACACATGATACGATGACTGGATAACCTACTAGAAATTAAGGATTATTGAATAGTTGTTTGATATTCGCTTGAAACTACTCCGGAGTGACTAGATTTGGAAATCCATTACAATTGAATGGTATACAGATAAAGCGATAAATTACAAGCTTCCAGTAGTGATGATCGTGTGACAATCAGTCGTAAAAATATTAAGATGTAATTAATCTCAAAACTGGGTCATCCTCACCCAAAACAATTTGAAAGTATATGGATGAGTGAGTAAAATGAACATTATTGTTAAAAGATATATTATTTTATCCATTGTTCATCTTCCCCTAGATCCTGAAGCCCACATAATTTTTTTGCTTCACTAATTTATATGTTTGTGAATTGTATCTTAAACCTCTATTCTTTTCTATAACCACTTATACTGTTATTACCTTTACTACTCTGGGATTTGCCATGATAATTTCATTTCCCTTTAATAATAGTGTATGGCAACTTAAATTGATGTACATATTTACACGCCACTCACTGCATTCTCGTGGCGGGAGTGTTGTTTACGAAATTGAGAGGACGAAAAGCGAATGTGCGGATTGTACCGGATTTCAAACCAATCGTGCACATGGGCTCCAGTATCCCGAGGGAACAAATGGCGTATGAACCAAATGTTGGTCACCGACTGCAATGGGACTGCATCTCCTCACGATGCTCCACTGCCTTGTGGATCAGACCTTCAGGTCGAAGGCTCGGGGAGTGGCCCCCTAAGAAAACCACCTGCTTCGGTTTGAGCACCCGAGGAATATCACAGCCCTCACACATATCGAATGAGATTTGTGTGGCGCATATGTATTTTGTGCCTCCTTGTACCGATATCTATGTGTTAAAATAAATAAAATAATTTACCAGGTTCTACGTTGTGACTGACAGATCATAAACCAAATCTGTGTGCATATGTATATTGCAAACATACCTCAATTTTTTCCGATTGTATTGTCTGCTTTACACATGGACCATAGAAACGTGTAGACATGATATTAGGTTGTGTCACTCGTCTAGTTATATTTTGTGCTGTACATGGATGAGTCCTACAACTTGACATATTTGTCGGCATTACAGGCAAACTTCCAGGATTTGCTGGCATATTGTGGAAGTGGTGTGTAGAACATTGATGATCGTTGTTTAATCCAAATGGCGATGATGATGACGAGGAAGAATTTGGGGGTATTTTGAAGCGCTGAAAATCACCACCGCCAACGTCGCAGACAGGAGCAGATATTGGTGAATAAATTTGCAACTGATAGTCTAATTCACACTGACGTTGATGAGACAAAATCATCGACTCGACCAGATGACTTAATTGTTGTACGTGCCATTCAAGCTGACAAGGGGATTGAAAGAGAAGAGCAAAGGTCAGAATTCTTATTTAGATATTTAGGAAGAAAAAGAGTAAAGAAATATTGTTTTCAATAGTTGATCAGTCTATTGCGCAAGACTGAAGTGATTAGCATTCATTTCAAGGAAGTGAACTTCTAATGTTCCAAAGAAATTTATACAAGCATGAACATTACAGTCTAATATATACTTCCATTTACTATCTTATACGATAGACTGAAGCAAATTATAAATGACCTGTTATTTCTTATCTCTTCTAATTCAACCAGTCATTTTGCATAATTAAGGTCTTTGCGTTAACCACGATCAGCGATCAATGTTAGCTGACATGACGCAGAATAAGTATCAATTACACAATTTATATTCACGATACAGAAGGGGTCATTATTTATTGTCATCAGTGTTCCATCACTCATTATATGGTTGAGCTCCCACCGATCACGGTTTCTCATCAGAACCTCAGAGACTAACTTTTGAAGGTAGACATTAGTGAGTAGTTTAGTCATTGTACGCATTGTGATCCGAGCTTTAACTCAGTGTGATTCATTTTTGTATCTGTTCACAAAAATCATAGAGATTAAAAGTGTAATATTATGGATTAAAAATCTACTTGGATTCAACCTTCATTAACTGAAACGATGCGATGATAAGTGTGTACCGCTGGAATTTCTTGTTTGAATAAATTTTCAGTGTTATAAGTTCCTGGCAATTTAGTTTAGATGTAAGCTGAAAATTTCGATTTTTTAAATTCACCTATTTTGACATAAATTACAAAGGATTTCATTTTTGTTCCAATTCAGTTAAAATCGATTGAAACAACTGTCATATTTTCGAAATATATTGACAACTATAAAACTGAAAATAATTTACTTCTATTTTAATTGAGATCATGAACCAACTACCATTGAAAACCAGGAAACAGTTGACGACCGTTTCGTCTTAGTATGAAACTTCTTAGCAATATGCATCCACAATCCCACACACCAAACCTTTTATATCGCACGAGCATTTCATCTCTAGACCATTGAGCCGGGATCCAACAGTTCTATACTAGGACGAAACGGAAGTCCAGTGCTTTCAGGTCTTGAATGATCGATTCATGATACCAATTGAAACTCCACAATCTCCATAACCCTTTACTGATAATTACTTTTATTTGTCAGTAATTCAAAACTTCAATGAATTCGCCAACAACAAGAAAAAAATAATTGAAAATCCGACTTTACCAATCAATTAATAATAAATAAGGAGCAAAACTTTAAACATGATAATATTACTATGAATAACATGATATGATGATAATGATCTCTGTCTGCCTACCTCATCTACATATTGAAGTCTAACATTGATATCTATAAGGCGTTGTTTTAATTGTTGATTTTCCTTAAGTAGACTGGTAAAATCCATCTGGTTAGTATTTTGATGAATGGATTCCGATTTCATAGAAGAAGGAAATAATTCAGGCTCTGTAAATTGTCCAATGACAGGACCATTGCCTAATGGTAATTCTGATTGATAATTGCTCATGATTAAAGGTTGATGCTGATTATTATTTCGATTGTATGCATTGTATTCATATGCCAAAGAGCAAATATGAGATGTGGTCGTTGTCAGAACAAAAGCAGTTGCTGTACAACATGATACTGGTAAATGATTGCTGGTGGCAGATGTTACTGGGAAACGAGGCAACATATACAAACCACGATAACACCAGCGGATTGGAAATCCAAGCGCTTGTGAAGAAACAGATGTTAATGGTGGTATAACTATCAAGAAAAATAAACAGTATATTGATTATTTAAAATAAGGTTTAGTGTTGTTTTCAATTGAATAGAACAGTTGAACAAATCTCTTCTAAATATTCAGAATCAATTTATAGAAACGAATATTGATGATTTCCTAAAACATTTCAGTTATTAGCGTTTTTACACTTAACTCTAAATAATTTTAAGACTGGTGCTAGTAGTATTGCACATTTTGATCAACATTAGTTCGAAACAACAGAAATAATTAACAGGAATAACAACTAATACCGTAATGAACAAGAAGTTAGATGGAGACAAACAAAGGAATTGTAGTACGAAATTACAGAGTTATTTAGTAAATTGTGAAAACCATACGTTCAGTACTTCATTTACAAAATGTCCATTAATTGTCTCAAACTTAGTTTTTCCTTGATTTCCAAAACAATTACTCTCTGTCCCCGTTCTCTTCAATTTGATTTTCCTAATCTTCTGTTGTTAGGCGTTCCATATACTACTTATGTAGCATACATCACAATACTACTACTCTAAGCATAATGATACGCAGTAGAAGTGGATTAGTATCAATTAATAACACATTTCTAGACCCTGGAAATGTTTTCTTTTACTTAGATTTTTCTCAGTAATAATATCTAATAGCATCACTGAAACATCAGTTTCCGTTGAGTATACACTTCACTGTTGGAAGTGTATAGAACACACATTGAGTAAATCATCAAACTGATTCACGAGGCAATTGTTAACTTAGAATCCTGAAAGGAAACAAAAAAAAAAGGAAAGTCAAAGAATACACTACGTCGGGAATTGGAAGCAGATATAAAAAGAATGAATAGCAACTGGAAACGATTGCCCAAGACAGGGTTGGATGGAGAATGCTAGTGAGCGGCCTATGCTCCTTCTCCACGATGTGAGGTAACAGGTGTAAGTAAGTAACACACTTCATTAAAACACAAACACAAAGGTACAATTTGAAAATAAGACGATAAAAAATGCCATGAAATGACAATGATGGTGAAAAATTAATGACAAACAAATAAACAACAAATCACTTACAATCATTTTTCATAATTCTTGAAAATTCTTCTTTATTTTGTGGACATATTGCACGTTTTGATACGGGACCACCTGGATAAGGCATAGATAATGATTCTGGTGGATAATTATTTTGTTTCATATAAAATAGATTATTTGGATTTTCAAATACTGGCCATACCGGTGATTTAGGCAAAACAATAGGATTAGGTACAAAACGTTTAGCATCATATTGACTATTAACAGGGAATAATTTGTCTTGATGAAAATGATTATGTAATAAATGCGGTGGATGATGAGGTAATTGTGAATATGGATATAAATGATAATTTGATGGTATCCAAGGATTATTCATGAAAAATGAAGATTCATCAGTTGGTTGAAGATGATCGGGAATTTTATAAGGTGGTGGTGGAGGAGGAGGCGGTAAAGGTGGTTGAATTATATCTTGCGAATTTATATTACCTGTTTCTTGAATTATCTGGTTAGCTAAATGAAAATAAATAAATAAATAAACAAAACTCAGTAGATTGAAAAATAATTGTAAACACCAGATATTACCAATAAAGATGAATAGGTTAAATATGAGACAATCTTATAACATGTAATTGTCATGATTTAAAGATTCACGTTTATCTTGCAAACTATGAAGCTACTTTAAGACGCATGTTAGATATTAACTGGAGTGTCATACAATTCGAAACTGAATGCAATAAACCATTTTTTTTAAAAAGAAAAAAAAAATCTATTTCCTAACATTTCTTAACGTAAAAACCAAACAATTCAGAAGATGAATTATTGTTATGAGTTAAGATTTTATGAATGAATTTTCGATTCATTAAAATGACTGAATAAAATATCCATTAGAGGATAATGTGAAGTGGACAACCGCTGACAAGATCGAATTATCAATGTGTGCTCTCAATTCATCTGATATCAGAAGTTAAAATAACTATTCAATGGAATAGGTTTTTCTTTCGTCTAACAAAATAACATGTTTACATACAACATTTTGAACATAAAAGTAAAAAGGATTGGAAGTCATTTAACAAATAAACGATTGATAGATATACGTCATTCACTCTGCAAAAGAATTAACGTTAATTACTGTTCTGTTATACCATGATTCAAAATAATCATTACTTGAATAATCTCAAATTTAGTACATCACATAGATATGTCCAAAAAGACACAATTGTACATCTCTCACTAACCTGATAACTTCAATTATTTCTTATTCAGTAACATTTATTTCTGAATTTCTATTCAATTCTGAGATCAATATTCATTCTCTAGAAATGCCCTACTACGGCCGAGAGTGGAGAGAGTTAGTTTTCTCTCTCCAAATGCTCTCACATGACCACGTGCATACAACCACTACTAGGGAAGTACTACTCACTGCCTTCTCGTGGCATTACTGTTTTTTAATAAATTGATAGGATGAAAAGCAAATGTCCGGAGCTTTAACCGGATCGGTGGATACAGTGAGTCCACCTAGAGGAGTTGGAAAACCCTCATTCCAAACCAATGCTGCACATAGGCTCCGGGATCCTGAAGCAACAAATGGTGTATGGACCACTCGTTGGTCACTGACTACCATGGGACTGCATCCACTTACTTTGCTCCACTACCTTGTAGCGTAAAGCCTTCCTTCGAGATACTGTCAAACTCAATGAATTCAAGATAGCTCTCAACAACAGGTTCCAAGCCTTACAAGATCTACTGAAAGAAGAAGAAACTACTATGGAGGACAACTGGAAAGGCATCAAGGAAGCATTAACTTCAACCTGTCAAGAGGTTCTCGGTCTAAAGAAATACCATCATAAGGAATGGATCTCTACAGAAACACTGGACAAGGTCGAAGAAAGGAAGAACAAGAAGGCAGCAATAAATAACAGCCGAACACGAGCAGAGAAAATCCAAGCACAAGCTGAATACATAGAAGCAAACAAACAAGTGAAGAGGAGCATTAGAGCCGACAAGAAGAAATACGTGGAAGAACTAGCAACGACGGCAGAAAAAGCTGCTAGAGAAGAAACTATCAGGGAAATACAGTAAACCAGAGAGGCCGGTCAAATACAAAGAAGGCAAGCCAATCACCGAAATTCAACAACAGCGTAACAGATGGGTAGAATACTTCGAAGAGCTCCTGAATAGGCCGGCTCCAATGAATCCACCGGACATCGAAGCAGCACACATAGATCTTCCTATAGATGTCAATCCACCAACTACGGAAGAAATTAGAATGGCCGTCAGACAAATCAAGACCGGGAAAGCAGCGGGGCCCGACAACATACCAGCTGAAGCACTGAAATCAGACATCGAAGCAACCACAAGCATGCTTTATCTTCTATTCAAAAAGATTTGGGAGGAGGAACAAGTGCTGATGGACTGGAAAGAAGGACACATCGTCAAGATTCCAAAGAAAGGAGATCTGAGCAAATGTGAAAACTACAGAGGCATAACACTATTGTCAATACCAGGGAAAGTCTTCAACAGATTGTTGCTGAACCGGATGAAGGATGCAGTAGACGCCCAACTTCGAGATCAACAAGCTGGATTCCGTAAGGATCGGTCGTGCACAGACCAAATTGCAACACTACGGATCATCGTAGAACAATCAGTTGAGTGGAACTCATCACTATACATCAACTTCATTGATTATGAAAAGGCATTCGACAGTGTAGATAGGAGGACATTATGGAAACTTCTTCGACACTACGGAGTTCCTGAGAAGATTGTCAATATTATCCGGAACTCATACGACGGACTACAGTGCAAAGTAGTGCATGGAGGACAGCTGACAGATGCATTCCAAGTAAGGACCGGAGTCAGACAAGGCTGTTTACTCTCTCCATTCTTCTTTCTTCTGGTAGTCGACTGGATTATGAAGACCTCAACATCTGAAGGAAAACACGGAATACAATGGACAGCTCAGAATCAATTAGACGATTTGGACTTCGCAGATGACCTAGCCCTCCTATCACGTACACACGAACAGATGCAGATGAAGACAGCCAGTGTAGCAGCAGTCTCTGCATCAGTAGGCCTCAGCATACACAAAGGGAAAACTAAGGTCCTCAAATTCAAAGCGGAGAACAGCAATCCAATCACTCTTGATGGCGAAACTCTGGAAGATGTAGAGTCCTTCACATATCTGGGAAGCATCATCGATGAACAAGGAGGCTCAGATGCAGACGTAAAGGCGAGGATCGGCAAAGCAAGGGTCGCATTCCTACAATTGAAGAACATATGGAACTCAAAACAACTTTCAACCAATATCAAAGTGAGAATCTTCAATACGAACGTCAAGGCAGTTCTACTGTATGGAGCTGAAACTTGGAGAACTACAACAACCACAATCAAGAAAGTACAAGTATTTATAAATAACTGCCTACGCAAGATACTCAACATCCATTGGCCGGATACCATCAGCAATAGCCTTCTGTGGGAGAGAACAAACCAACTTCCAGCTGAAGAAGAAATTAGGAAAAGACGATGGAAATGGATAGGACATACATTACGCAAATCGTCAAACTCCATCACGAGGCAAGCCCTAACTTGGAATCCTGAAGGGAAGCGAAAAAGAGGAAGGCCAAAGAACACATTACATCGGATAATAGAAGCAGATATGAAAACGATGAATTACAACTGGACGGAGCTAGAAAGGATTGCCCAGGACAGGGTTGGATGGAGAATGCTGGTGAGCGGCCTATGCTCCTTCACAAGGAGTAACAGGCGTAAGTAAGTAAAGTAACTTGTAGCGTAAGCCTTTATTTCGAAGGCTCCAGATGTGGCTCCCTAAGAAAACCACGTGCTTCGGTTTTTGCACCCTGGTATCCTAGCCTTCACACAAATCGAATGATTTATGCGTCGCATGTATATTCGGTGCCTCTTTGTACCAATGTTTATGTGTTTAAATAAATAAATGATGTTAGACACTAACACCATTGGATGCCGGCTCAGTGTTCTAATGGTTAAGTGTTCAGGCGCGAAGCCAGTAGGTCCTGGGTTCGAATCCCGCGGTGTGCGGGATCGTGGATGCGCACTGCTGAGGAGTCCCATACTAGGACGAAACGGCCGTCCAGTGCTTCCAGGTTTCCAACGGTGGTCTAACATCAAATGATTCATGATCTCAACCAACAAAAAAAACTTAACAATCTCCACAACCCCCATACTGATAAATAAATAACTGCAGAAATGTATTTCAATGTTGTTTAAAATTTTCCTACTAGAATCTGTCTATTAAGTAACATATATTCTATTTAACTATCTGAAATAATGACTTGATAAACTCCATTATTGTCGATATAACAGTGATGACTGCAGTTGTGATGAAGTAATTTAATATTGTAAAGAAATTTCTTAGAAACCTAGTCGAAATAATCAGTTCCATGTAGTATCTTGATGTCAGCTGTGAGCTTTCTTTAATGAAAATCAGGAAAATTATTCAGAACACTAATTACAAAACTAACATCTGTTGTTCAAAAAATAGATTAACGTGAATCGACAACCTGGTAGCCAACAGTTTGTGATGCATGAAATAACAGGTGATAGGTTTATGATTTAGCAAGTCAGTCAGTTATGTTCAATGTATGATCTGAGGTATACGCATCTCGGTTCGAGTTGACATACTTCTAATCAGCACAGTGAGAGATATGAAGCAAATGAGGAGAGAACAGGGTCGAGTTCAAGTACACTTTTAATGATGGATTACGAACAAGGAACGCTAAGGTGCATTTGGAGCAAATTACCATGAAAATGCCGTGTGATAATGTAACTCATTTAAGTGGTATGAATTTATGGACTTAACTTTATGCATGAGGGCTACTGATACTTTATAAGGTTCATCTTTATTACATAAAAAAATTGCAATTTTAGTTTACTTACAATAATCAGGACAATCTTCCTCGAAATCACATGGTTCCTGTGACGAATGTGGTAAAACTAATTGGGGTGTTACTTTTTGTCCAGAGTTTGTGTAATTAAAAGGCAAGTGTTTATCTTCATTTGACTGATGATGATGACAATGTTCATTATCTTGTTGCTGTTGTCGACGTCTTTCCTGTTCTTCATGTACTGCAAACAATTCTTGAGATTCATTTACATAAGAATGTGATGAACGATGTATCATCATTATTTTCATTGAATTATTACTATCGTTATTATTAAAGTGGTTGCCAGTTTTATCATTCTCACCTGGAAGGGTTCTATCATGATCACTGTCCATGTTATCGTCTACATCAACATCATCATCATTATCACCACAACCACCGCCACCACCACCAACGTCATCATCATGCCCATCACTACGAGTGTTTGATTCAATTTCTTCGTCATTCGGTGGTGTTTGATGCACAGCGTGATCATTATCACCATCATCATCGTTCGCACCAACACCATCATCTGCATCACCGGAACTAGAGGCATTTGTTGAAAACTCACAACTTTTCTCATATATTTTATTTTGATCATTGGATTCAAGATCACATCGACCCTTAAAAAAAAGAATTTATTCTTATCTACAAGAATACATAGATTTACATTCGAAAGTAGTCACATACACATATATTATCAAGAAATATACAAAACATCGATACAAATATTATCAACATTTTAACATCTCTTATAAGCTTCAATGAGCATGTTTACATTTTCTTAGATGGGACAACTTGGTAGCTATCGATTGACTTCATAAATCGAAATTCTGATCAATTTGTTTAATGATAATACACACTGTGACTTATTTGCAAATTTAATGTTTGTGTATGGATACAGATATGAGCTACGCTGTTTGTATGAAGGTTAGTGATACATATCAGGAGCTGAAACTGGAGTAATAAGAGTGGGATTTGAACTTAAAATCTAGTGGTTGAAAGTTGAACATCTAAACCGCCAAGTCATAGCTCTGCTTGTTAAATTTCAATCAGGACGAGATTGGAGTAATTGATAGCCGATGTAGTAATATATTTATCACTCACCATAGTCTGTACAACTTGACAACCATATCAATTGATTTATTGTGTCGAACTGTGCTGAATGCATGGAGGACCAGAACTACAGTATTACACACAGTGAGTTTGTGCTGTAGATCATACTCTTGAGAATACACATAGCAAGTCAAGACTGATAGAAATTATTAAATAAGGAGGTCTACATGATCAGCCATCTTTCGATTCTTAAATGAAATTTGATTACTGACTACTAAGGTACCATTTTGTATTCAACAGTTCCTAAATTTATCATTGTCAGATTTTTACTAGATATGTTGACAATTTCGAGCCTACCCAGTCTTTCGCCCAATAGGACTACATTATCTATGTATCTATTGATCAGGCCGTATCCAGGTGAAAAGTCAGTGCCAGAAAAACCGGTTATAAGCAGCACTACTTCCACAAGTGTGTCTTCGATAAGACTGAGGTAGAATCATGCCAGTAGATATAAAAAGTGAATGTTACTTCCAAACATTACTTGGTAACAAACTTGTTTACAAAACCTTATGTGACTTCGAGAACATGAATAGCGTGTCTTTAGCAGTAAAATATATGCATTCAAAAGGTTGTTTACTGTCAGACGACGCCCAGAAACTTATCGATCAATAAGGTAAAGAGTTATTAAGGTCAATGAAAATAACCAGTATATCTTGAAAACTGATGAAGAGTGAATCGCTGGCGATCACACTTTCATCGCATCTGAGACGCTCTGCAATTTGAATGAGTTGGTGTTCTTGAACTTCAGTTAAGTGCGGAAGAAGTATCAACCGTAAGAATTCACAGACTGTGTTACTAAACTGGATACTATGGTGGTTATTATAAAAGGATTTTTCATTCTTTTTACGAATGAGATCACCAAATATCAAGACCAGTTCACTGCTATTTATTTGGACACTCCCGTACTCATGGTGGCGTTCGCATTGGTTTGGGTAATGACAGTTTTTATTACTTACTTAAAAATACAGAGTATCTGATCTTATTGTTTTACTTGGTTTTTCAACTTTGGTAAAAATGTAGAAAATCATCATCTCGGAAATTTGTTGGCATTACTGTTGACTGTGGTGTAACGCTGGGTCAGTTGATTTTATTATTTGTCATTTCTTAGTGCTCGTATTTATTGATAAAGTTCACATACGCAGGTCGATCCACTTTTCAACTAATCAGCGCTGGTGGCTGAAGATTCATATACAACTTCTATATAAATTTTAATATTTTTTAACCACTGTATCTACTGTTTTTTTTCGGAATATTCGAATATATTTCCATTCTCTAATAATTCTTGCTCGAATTGAGGAGTGGTTCATTGTATCCAATGATTACTACGCAATTGAATTATAGTAAATAAATACTTCAATAGTTGAAATCATGAGTCAATCGAAGCTAGATTACCATGGAAAACTTGGAAGCAATGGACGGCCGTCTCGTCCTAATATGGGACTCCTCAGCAGTGCGCATCCGTGACCCCGCCCCCCGCGGGATTCGAACCCAGGAACTGTCAGTCTTGCGCGAGCGCTAGAATGAAACGGCCATCCAGTGCTTCTAGGTTTTCCATGGTGGTCTAGCTTCAATTGACTCACGATTTCAACTATTAAAATTACTAAAATCTCCACAAACCCCTTCTGAAAATAACAAAAAGACAACATAACAACACTTACTCGATTAAAAATTCCTGGTGAATCAATACTGGATTCCATTTCATCTTGTGTAGCTGATGAACATGTGTTTGAGGATGATCGACGAGGTAACATGTTATCATTTTTCCTCTGAATAGATGTCATTGTACGCCAACATTGGCTATCAGGAGATGGTTGAAAATTAGGTGATTGATTTTTATTAGACTGAACAATCGGTGTTTCTGATTTACTAGGCCAATTGATTGATTCACGCCATTCACAATTGATTGATTGTACATTGGTAGAAGATGATGGAGAATTCTAATAAATTTATACAAAAGATGAGAACGCTAAGTCGTGTAAATTGTAGAAAAAAAGTAATTTATTAGTAGTAAATCGAATTCCATGTTGCCTTGTGACCACAATAGGTTAGTATATATGACATAGGTTGTTTCAAGAAATCGCAATACATATGTACTAGTGGTCTACAGTTTTTTTAAAAAAAACCTTGAAAGACTGCTTTCACTCACTTGCTTATATGGAGACACTTATCAGATTGAATTTTTTAAGAAAAGGGTCATTAACGTGTCACTGAATAAGAAAAATGTAAAAGAGAAAGCAACTTTCCTGACCTTGTGTGTATTAGAGTATTTGGTGTGAAGGGATTTTCAGTCCCTAATTGACTCCGAGAATTTGTGTTATAAATAAAATAATGATCGTTAGTAAATATTTAGACATTATAATGTATTCAAATGTTTCGAATATTTGGAGTTCGTATTGCATCGAAAAAGCTGAGGGAAATTTACTACCAGGTTAGATTTTATCATTCGTTACCTGGATAAGAACATACGATTAAATTGCTAATTACTAATGTTATAACATTAATTCACTATAAATATTTAATTCAGGACCTTTAGATTTTGTTTTTATGTATAATTTTTTAAACTGAAGTGGTTTTTAGGATGAAACTATTGTTCAAACGTTGCCAAAAATATATGACTCATATATTTGAAAATAATGATGGATAAAACCTGTAGGGTACTTGAATTCTGAGCGTTAGGTTTTAGTGATCTGAAGATTAAACTTTTGACGTGAGGCTTAAAAAGGATGAGTTCGATCCCTGGTCCGGTTTGACTCGACAATATCATCATCGAAGTTCAAGATCAGATCAGAGGTGAAAACAATCAAAACAAAAATATGCAAACAACTGTAACACATATATGGACAACATCTATGAACAAGCTACTAGTCCATTGTGTAGAGATTCAGATGATTCATTTCTTATTGAATTGTGTGCTGATGATGTCAAGAAAATTTCGCGAGAATATCATCTAGCCCAGACAATAAAACACATTAAAAAAGATTAGTGCTTCGTAGTTACCTTTGATGCTATTCGCTAGGTGGTATCACTGCGCATCACGAATTACCTTCAAACTAAAGCTCTTGTCTTGATTTACAATCATAATAAATGGAGTCAAGAGAGTAAACAGTATCAAGCGTATTCTTATGTGATTGCTTATTTTAGCTATTAATGTGATGTCTTATAATTATTCTGTTGGTTGATGCTTATAGAAACTTTTCTAATGTTGCTTTAATAGTATCAGTCAGTCAGCAACAACGTAGAACTTCGTACGCACGTACATCAGTTCAAGTTGCCATATCACATTAGCACACAGATACAATTGTCGATTCAAATCCCATAGTGGTAGAGGTAGTAGAAGTATAAGCAGTAATCGGAAACATTAGGGTTTGAAGATGTTATTCAAAGAGTATAATCCAGTGAAATAAATTTGGAATGAGAAAAAAGAAAGGGACATGAAGAATTCAGAAGATTAGAATTTGGGAAAACACAGAGTGCATGCACCTACGCCATTGCAAACGATTTTGAGCCATGTCATTCAGGGTCTCTAACCATCGGTTGCTAACATCTCGCGGATACCAACCAGGTAGTCTACACCTACAAACATGGTTCAATCCACTTGTCTGTGACTTCATTGACTTGTGCCGTGTTTTGGTCTGTTCGTCCCTAGCTTTCTTACAACCTACTCCTACACCATAAAACATCACAAGGCATTCGGTGGTTGGGCATACGTAACCCATGTTCCAGCCATCTCAAATGATGAAGTTTCACCACTTCATCAATTGATTTACCATCCTTACCTAGTACCCGTTTCCTAACAATTGCATTACTTACTCCATGATTCTAGGATATAAGAGCAATGTTTCGAAGACACCTATGGTCAAATACTAGTAACCTACGAATATCCTCTACTATTACCGGCCATGTTTCACTGCCATAAAGTAGGACGGAACGAACTGCTGCGCAGTAAACACTTCCTCTGGTTGATACACGGATATCTGACCTACGCCATAAATGACACAAGTTGGCAAAAGCTAGTCGAGCTTGGTAGAAGTTCAACCCCTGGAAATTTAGATGAGGAAAGTATTATCTCTAAAAGTACGTCAATGAAAAATTTAAACAAGAATGGAGAAAGTGGACAGCCCTGACGAACACCACTTGAGGTAATCGATTCTCACTCGGGCAATTGTGTTCGAGTAAAGAGCTTGTATAAGGTTAATGTACTTCTTTGGTACTCCTTTCAGTGACAAACACTGCCACAGAACCTCACGATCAACAAAGTAGAATGCTGCCTTAAAGTCGAGAAATACTACTATTGTGGGACATCTGAATGCAAATTTTTTTTTCAAAGAAAACTAAATTGTATGTAGTACAAGAGGTACTTTAGCTAATGGATAATATATAATAAAGTTATTTATTAATTACCCAAGAACTAGTCTCATGATTCTTTTTTGAAAATTTACTAGAATTGGTCAAACCAAATTCAATTCCTTGTCTTTTTGTTTCAGGTAATAAAACTTGCGGATTTAGAGAACTTAAAAGGCCAGAACTTCGATCATTTTCTGATGATGTATAACTTTGATCACTTCCTTTTCGTTGGATTGAACTCGGTGGACTATTTGTTGAACTAACTACTGAAGTAGCAAAACCTGGCGCTAATAAACGTGATAATAGTGGTGTACTTCTAGGATCAGCATGACATAAACTATCCACTTTATTTTTACTCATTCCAATAGTTTTTGACGATTTTTCATGATTGTTAACAGAAGTCGCTGTTGTTGTTGTTGTTGTTGTAACAGCAGTAACAGTCGTCGTAAAATTATTATTATCATTAGATAAATTAAACGGTCGAACAGGACGATCAACAAGTGGAAATTGTTTTTCACTGTTTACATTATTGCTGCAAGATGTAATGATCTGAGGTTTTTTCAGGATTTGACATTCTGCAGATCCATCTGACAAAAACAAAATGAACAAAGTATGTATAACTACGCACAATAGAGAAATTAAACAATCACAGAATCGATTTATGACAAGAATACCTTGAAAAAGAACACAACTAAAATTGAAGTTGGAGATTATTTATTCAATTTGTAACAATAGAAGATTAAAGAAAAAAAAGACTAAGAATGACTAGAATAAGGATTGGCATTAGTGTTTAAAGTTTTTAACTATTGAAAGAAGTTAATTTACCAGATGGTGAAAAATTCGTAATTGAGATCTGTACCCATAATTTTAATCTGTAACTGAAGTTATAATTAAGCGATCAAGAAACTAAGGGTAAATTTTAAACTAATATGAAAATATTACTCAAAGTAAAAAGTACCAAGTGTAATACACATTGAAAAAATAGTCCATCTAATCTACTATTTCATTGTTTAGGTTGACATTAAGTGCCCGGCAAATATGATTCCCATTTTAAAAAAAATTGTGGAATGTGAATGAAAAATTTATGTATGGTTGATTGGTTTACTTGTTTTGCAAGTGTGTAATGAAGTGAAAATGAATAAAAATTTGGTCACCTTTAATAATGTTGTAATTGGTCGTCAACTGTTCATCTTTTCAATGTGATTTAGTTGAAATCGAAATAGCATCAAGTGCTTTGATTGAATGTCAGGATTTACATTTTCACATTTGAAATTTAATGATAATGAATAATTCTATTTGTGTAATCTGAGTCTTGAAAAGAATGTAGACGTTTCAGAAAAAAAAAATACACCAACTGAAATCCTACTGTTAGTGAATGTGTATTGGGAAAAATTTTTGCTTTCCAATCAAGTGATTTCATGTCAACCTTTAATTAAAGTCGTTAGTTATCTTGCCACGAATACTGATGTGTAACACATAAAAAGCAAGTTTTTGGGAAAATGGAACTGAAAACCAGTTTGAATATTTGATAATAATGATTACTGAATGAGGTCGGTAATCAAATGTTGAATACCCAATGAAAAAACAAATTATCACCAAAGTATGTGCATAAGTTTTTTTGGAACACAAATGGTCTGTTAATGGGAAAAAGAAATCAACATATGAATAAATCATCATGATAAATTACTGATTGCAATATGTATAATTCAGGTGAACCAACCGTACACCATCATTTGATGAAGTAATAATTTTTCCTAAATAGGCACTTAATATATAATGAAGGTTCATTTTTTAAATAGTCATTCTTAATAAGAATTAGAAAAAGGTTAGATTTCAATGCGGTTAATTTTAAAAGTCCATTGAAACGATTTATTGTTTTCACTTGTAAATTATTTGTACTTCTGTATTATAAAATTAACTTATTTGTCATAATAAAAAGTAGTGCGTATAATCGGTCATGTTTGAATATTGTTAACCGCCGTAATATGAAACTTGAACTATATCTAGACATTACGAATGTAAACCACTTTTAACAATCATTTGAAATATTAGTTTCATGAAGTGTAAATGAACAAGTCTACGTCATCTGACTGACTCAACAAATATCTATCGACATTCAACGTATCAATATGAATAAGGTCAACTGCATCAATAAACCTTTATAATGGTGATTATTAGTTTTGCATTTTAAATTTTGCTATAACACTATTCCACTTATTGTGACTGAACACTTTACTGCAAATCATTTAGACCTTTTATTTACTGACCTTATGAAATTGCAAATATGACAATTTGTAATATATATATATATACGTCGTAACAGATGCAAATGTGTACCAACGTTAACATTGGTACACTGTTACATTAATGCCATGTCTTATTTTTGGCCTTTCTAAAATATTGAAATTACGGACTTGTAACTGTTTAATGTGATGATAAACTTATTTTAAAACTATTGTTCGCTAAAGTAATTTTCATTTTCAAATATTTTATGATAATTGTTAAGTGCTACAATGTGATTCTACGAAGTCGGAGGTCAAAAGGAAGTAATTCCTAAATTATGTGATAATTTTAGAGATTTATGGAATTTAATAATGATAAGATCGGTTATGTAATAGTAATTATATGAATTCTGAAATTAACATGGTCTAGGAGTATCAGGTGTTCGAAATCTGTGAATAAACATTTCATTTAAAAGGTAACCTTTGACCTGTTCTGGTATATATAAATATACTATTATCATTATTCACTTTTCTACACTCATTGACCTGAAATATTCACACAATCTCAATGTAATTTAATCGTTGACTACTCCACATATCTGTAAATTTACAATCTATAAGCATACTCTTGCATGGTATACATTAGATACGGAAAACTTGTATAAGTTATCTCAACCAATATATCTAATGAACGATGGAAACCAGTTTACAAACATATGAGCAACAATGGCTTTGCGATGATTATTCTATAAGGCATAACTAAATTCCTTAGACATTAATGAAAAGAAATTTAGAAGACATTATGGAAATCAAATTGTGGGTGGCCCTGAAAAGGGCCTTTACTCGTTCCCGTTTTAGTTTGTAATGGCGCCACACATAGGACATTGCACTGCTCGTACGTTCGGTGATGGGTCGTAGGCACAGAAGGTATGAAACATTGCTTCACATCTACAGAAAACCCAAGCAACCGCATCACCAGTTTCACATGGCGGCTGCGCAAGATTACAGATGTCGCATAGTCGGTTCTCGTCATCCTCTTCTTCATTTTGGATGTCCCGTTCAGTTAACTCTTCGGAGTTAATAGAAATTACTTCCTCCTCATCGTTACTGAGCGTTTCATCCAAATCAACAGTTCCTCGTTGTATAAAGGGCAGTGCAACGTTAGTCGAGGTTGTTGAATGGGTGTATGAATGCTGTTCTCCATGCAAGTTCAACGGCATTGTTGGCCATCTACCGTGAATTATGAAGCCATGAAGTGAATTGCATTGTTCCTCAGACATTCGCCTGACTAACGCTATCACTGCATTCTTCATGCTCGTCTGACTCAATTGCATTGGGAAATAATTCTCAACTGCAATATGAGTCAGATAACCATCACAGTGTAACCACCTGTCACAAATTGACTGTACGTTCACATCAGTATTACTGTGTGTGCAGTAAACCAATATGTGACGGCATGGTAATCCGTTTTCAATGAAGAATGGACACGAGCACCGGCTAGTATCGACGTGTACATAGTACGTTCCCGTGGCGTCCGTAGCCGTGAATAAATCTTCCGACAATACAGACTGCGTTATAGGAATGCGAAGGTGTCGCTTCAGTAGTTGACAGGCAGCTGGTGTCAGTCGTTCCTGAAGTCGACGTACTTCCGGCTCCTCACCAATGTCGGCTTTCCTCCGACAATCCGTTGAATATTTCTGTAATCTTGCTTCTATCCAATATCCAGTACGAAGCAGCACACTGAAAATGGATCTGAGCACCGGTGTTTTCCGATTAAAGTGATACATCTTCAACACTCGGTGACTCGTCTCCACGAAGTTCGTATTGTTTAGTTCAAATAGGGTTGATGGCGGTCGAAAAGCAGTGGACCAATTGTGTTTCCGTGGTAAAAAGTGGTCTCTGACGTATCTGCCAAACGTTCCGTCCGACATTTCGATTAACGAAAGTACGTTGTTAAAACTACAAAATCATGTTATGCAGATTTTGATTTACCTTTCAACCGTTCGAGTGAACATGAGGCGAAAGAACAGTTGTACAATTTCTGATCGCACCCTCTAAATTTACGGTTAATGAGTTAATGTTAATAAACTGTACACTTCTTTATCACATTCCGAACAAGGTGTACGCGACACAGAATATGGTGGGCATTCGGATACACCTGCGTGATAGCAGCGGCTACTGCAGGTGAATCATCGGTCACAATGCCTACCAGCTGTCGACTGTTGGTACACTGTTGGAAAAAACGCAGGAATCCAGAAATGAATGTTGACGTTTCGCGACTTAAAAAGGCAATGCAGATGGGTATTGCCTTAAAATTCATATCCAGGGCAACGACTTGATATAAATGAACGTTCT